CATAAACCGAGAGTTACATGAACTGGGGCATTCGTAAACCGAGGTACACCTGTAGATCATTTCCTCTACATCACTTCCATGGACATTCTTGAAGAGTTTTCAATGCTTCATGAACACAATGAAAACACGTCATAAACACATCATAAATGGCATAGGAGCGCTAATAAGCATTGCTTTATTCTTCATAAGTAACACCCGTGTGAACGAGTCCGAACAGTAAGATTTCTTCCTTCTGGGATACAAGTTTTACATAAATAAAAGCTGATCATTGTAAGCACTCCTGTCCATGGTAAATGTTTTGTCACATCCCTGTACACAGACACATCTGGAAGAGAGCTTGTTCTTATGAAAAACAACAGACTTACTGGCTGGATCACTAGATGAAATTATAAAGAAGATGAATGCAGCCATCCCATCTAAGAATAGTAAGCTTCAAACAATAAGCATACGCTTTTGGGTTAAATACAGCTCTAAGGGCCAGTTCACACCACATGCAGTGCTTTCTTTCTGCAACAAAAAAATAATGGGAAGTAGGTTACATGGGTTCCAATGGCATAGTCCACAGCAGGGCAATGCGTTCCAGTGCTTCTCAGTTCCAGAAAAAAAAAAGAATGACATGCTGCTTTATGACATGCTGCTTTTTTTCCTGCACAGAACTGTTCTGGAACGCAGTAAAAAGCATAAAACAAAAGCACCGGATCCTAATACAGCGGAGAAAACAGGAAAATGAAGCAAAGGAAAAGCAATGCCCTAATAAAAAAAAAGGATCTTGCAATTAAGATGATCCATAAAATAGGAAAAAAAAATCTTGAACGCATCTGGAAAAGCATAAAAACACATTGGACTGTATCTAGAAAGTGTTTAAAAAAAAAAACATATCTGGAACGGATCTGGAGGCTGATTTTGTGGTGTGAACAAACCCTCAAAGTGATCCGAGAGCAAAACTGTTGCAAACGAGGCCCAAGTGGAGATTCTATTCTCACTTCCTGTTGTGTCACCAGGACAGGAAGTGAAATTAAATTTTCTCAAGGAGGCACAGATGGGGAAAAAAAGGCCAGTGGATGTAACCCAGCCCTACTCTACCAAACTTATAGACAAAGAGGGTTTGGTTTTAGATATAAATCTGAGCGGCTCCTCTGATGTCCCACAATGTTTACTTCTGTCCCCGGGGTGTCTGAGGCCTGCACATTACTTCCAGGGAAAAAGATGTAAAACTGCATTGTACAGCCGTGTGTCCCCTGTCCCCTCTTCTATTACAACCCCTGGACGTGCATTGCAGCCTGTAGGCCTGGATGGAAGACTCAGCTATGGCCCCACCTGCCTCAAGCCGCAATAATACCACAGGCCGCGGCCTAGTCCCCCCTTGACCCTGTCATCCCCTCTATGGGCCTCACCTCCTGGTTAAAGGCGTTCACGGCGTCCATGCTGCTGAGTGAGGGGCGAGGTGATGAGGAGGAGGGGTCACCGCACACTGCGTGTCTCACGGCCTTCCTCGCCTCGCTGTCTGGCCTGCTTGCTCGCTGCTACCGCCGCCCTCTCCGCTCCCGCATGTCCCACTCTGAGGAGGGGAGGAGGAAGGCTTTGTGGGGAAGGGGGCTCCGGTCCGTCCGTGTACCACCGAGAATAAGGACGGAGCTTCGCTGCCTCACCGCCGGAACAAGATGGCGCAGCTTGGCCAGCGCAAGGCACGCCGGGAGGGAGAAGAGGGGCGGAACGACTGGAGGCAGCCGAGCGCTGGCTTTCCTTTGCGTGTCCCCTCAGCAGCTTCCCGCCTTCCAGGCGCGTCCGTATCCGCGTGCATGGCGCGTGTGAGGGGAGAACATGTGATCTCTCCCTACTGTGCTGTGTCGGTGGCAGTCTGGTCTGAGGGCTGGTTAGCAGACGTCCTGGGCTACCTAGGGAACAGCGAATATGTAACAAATGAGAAATACACATTATAAATATTCAATAATAAAATTATATATGTACAGGAGAGGCAGTCGGTGACGGAATATTCCTCACTGTAATGTAAAGGAGGCTGGAGCACTGATATAAAGGGGTTCTGTATTGATTATGGTTCCCCTTTACATGCAGTCCCCTTTATATCACAGTGCCCTTATATATTCAGCAAAGAGACAGCCCAATCCAGCAAAGAGACAACTCCATAAAACAAAGATCCCAATCCAGCAAAGCAACATCCCCATCCAGCAAAGAGACATCCCCATCCAGCAAAGTGACATCCCAATCCACAAGGAGACAGGATGACTGCTGGAATGGGATGTCTCTTTGTTGAATGGGATGTCTCTTTGCTGGACTGGTCTGTCTCTTTGCTGGACGGGATGTCTCTTTGCTGAATGAGGATGTCTCTTTGCTGGATGGGAGTGTCTCTTTGTTGGATGGGATGTCCCTCCTTGGACAGGGCTGTCTCTTTGCTGGATTGGGATGTCTCATTGCTGGATCCCCATACAGCCCAATCCAGCAAAGAGACATCCCCATACAACAAAGACAGCCCAATCCAGCAAAGAGACATCCACAAAGAATGTCTCTTTGCTGGATGGGATGTTTCTTTGTTGAATGGGATGTCTCTTTGCTGGACTGGGCTGTCTCTTTGCTGGATGGGGATGTCTATTTGCTGGCTGAAGATGTCTCTTTGCTGGATGAGGATGTCTCATTGCTGGATTCCCATACAGCCCAGTCCAGCAAAGAGACATCCCATCTGACAAAGAGACATCCCAATCCAGCAAAGAGACATTCCCATCCAGCAAAGAGACATCCCAATCCACAAAGAGACAGCATATCTCTTTGCTGGATTGGGATGTCTCTTTGTTGGATGGGATGTCTCTTTATTGGATGGGATGTTTCTTTGCTGGGCTGTCTCTTTGCTGGGCAGGGATGTCTCTTTGCTGGATGGGGATGTCTCTTTGTTGGATGGGATGTGTCGTTGATGGATTGGGATGTCTCTTTGCTGGATGAGAAATATCTGCTGACTCTGATGTAAGGGGGAATGCTGGGTACTCTGGTGTTATGGGGGAGAGGGGGGTTGATCAGAAAACCTCTTACGCTAGAGTTCCCCTTTACATCAGAGTCTGCAGAGTGACTACACTAAGGTAAAGGGGTTCACTGATGTAAGAGGGGAGTGAGGACACTTATATAAGGGTGGACCTTTATATCAGTGTCCCCCCTTACCTTAGGGTCTCCACTCACCCTACATCCATGACCCCCCATAGAGTGACTGACTGACTCTGTGTGGCCTGGAGCGGTCATACACTGAGCTCCTGTAATCACCTGTAGCCTTTGCCCCTTCTTGCAGTCACTTTCAAATTTGCTGGAAAGGCACCAAGCACCATGATGTTGCCGAGCACCTGACCAACAGATGCGTAGTTCTGGAGTCAGCCGATTACTAATTGGATGAGCTTGGTGCACAAGCAGGGGGTGTTGAGAGGATGCTCGGGGACAAGAGCAGTTTTAAAAGGCTCTTTTCTGCTATTTACAGACAGCAGAAAAGTGCCCCTTTTTAACTGGAAACACTGTCTGGGGGTCCCACCACAGTGGCCGAACAGCAGGGTACCAATTATGACCTCTGCGACCCTGGTATTTCTGCCACTGGTTATAACCCCTGTAAGATTTATTTTTGCCTTCTGTCTCCCATTGGGGAGATTTCTCTTCACTTCCTGTCCCATAGCTAAACAGGAAGTGAAATAATCCCTGTAAATTAGGGGAATTCCTTGGGGACCAAGTCACCAGAACTAATGTCACCATTGGAAGATTTCCCCTCTATTACTTTTCTGGGGACAGACTTTCAATGATAATGATAAAGAGGACGAACAGGGAGGGTGAATCTGCCTAACGGGGCACAGACTGCAATACAAACTGACGGGTTCTAATTCTTCACTCTGTCCAAAACTACAAAACAAAGTGGCTGGGGCAGCACAGTGACTAAATGGTTAGCACTTCCGCCTGGCAGCACTAGGGTCGTTGGTTTGAATCCCAGCCACGGCACCACCTGCGTGGAGTTTGCATGTTCTCCCTGTGCCTGCGTGGGTTTCCTTCGGGTACTCCAGTTTCCTCCCACACTCCAAAGACATGCTGGTAGGTTAATTGGATCCTGTCTAAATTGGCCCTAGTATGTGTATGAATGTGAGTTAGGGACCTTAGATTGTACACCCCTTGAGGGTTAGGGACTGATGTGAATGTACAATATATATGTAAGGCGCTGTGTAAATTGATGGCGCTATATAAGTACCTAAAATAATAAAAGTTTTGCCTTAAGCTATACTTTAGTGACATCCAAAATGTGGCTAGGAAGCTCACTATAAATTGGACAAAGCTCACTGGCCAAAAAGGTTGTGGAGATTCTTTCGGCGTGAATGTTCAAGTCAATGCTCCATCCTATTCTGGTGCACAAAACATTAACCAAAAAAATGTACATTAGATTGACATGTAGGCTTGAATGAGGCCTAAACGCCAGTCAGGTCCCATTCGTACATGAGCATAGCGGAAACACGCATTCCCACTGCTTTTTTTTTTGGCTTCACTCCTTAACCACTTCAAGTCCGGACACTTTTACCCCCTTCCTGCACAGGCCAATCTTCAGCTTTCAGCGCTATCACAATTGCGCGGTCATACAACACTGTACCCATATGTATTTTTTAGCATTTTTTTGAGACAGATAAAACTTTATTTTGGTGGTATTTATTCACCACTGGGATTTTTATTTTTTTTGCTATATAAATGAAAAAGTCCAAAAATTTTGAAAAAACGTATTTTTGTTATAAATTTTTGCAAATAAATAATCTTTCTTCATAAATCTTGGCCAAAATGTATTCAGCTATCTTTTTAGTAAAAAAAAATAACCCAAATTAGTTTAAAACCAAAAATTATAATTTTTAAAAAACATTTTTACATTTTTTTTTTTTTTTTTATATTATTATATCTTTTTTTAAACATACTGTCACCCTAGCAGTACAGTATCACCATAGTGACACTGTACTACTTGTGGGGAGTGAGGAAGATTTTTTTTTTTTTTTTACACTGATTGCTTTTACACCCATAATGGCTGTAAAAGCAATCATTTCTCCTTCTCTGGCTGCATTCTTGCAGCCATTGAGAAACACTGTGCTAGCTGTGATTGTGAATAGCCTTGTACCATGTGATCTCTGTGATCATTCACAGATTTCACACGTAGTAAGCAATGATGTCAGAAGTGACATCTTGCTTACTACTATTCATGTGATCACTGATTGGCCAATCAGTGATGACATGATCGAGACCTCACACAGAGGTCCCGTACAGCGATCGGTCCTCCAGACACAGCAGGCACTGGATCGCGGTGCCGCACGATCCCAGGGAGTGCGGATACAGGCTAAAAAGGCAGGCGCCGTTTATGAACGACAACCCACTCCTGCACTGCTCCCGTCTGGCCGTTTATATACGTGGGCTGGACAGGAAGTGGTTAATGTGTGTAGCGCCTAGGGCAGCCCATTCGCTTGAGTGATCGTGCGGCACCGCGATCCAGTGCTCGCTGTGTCTGGAGGACCGATCGCTGTACGGGACCTCTGTGTGAGGTCCCGATCATGTCATCACTGATTGGCCAATCAGTGATCACATGAATAGTAGTAAGCAAGATGTCACTTCTGACTTAATTGCTTACTACGTTTGAAATCTGTGAATGAGGGAGTGCGCATGCGCGGCCGGCGGGAAAGACATGTCCCGCTGAGGCTCCGTCTCCCCGTCGGGTGACAGTGCCTTGAAGCAGCGGGTCCCGGCCCGCAATATACCAGGAGGGGACCCGGTCCCCGTGGTGATCCTCCCGGGGTCCGATCCGCCCTAGGCAGCGACGGTTCCTCTGCGGTGAGTCGGAGGAATCCGACAGAGGACTCCGTCCCTGCAGCGAGCCGTCCATAGGCCCGCCCACCACTACCCTCTCACATAGAGCCAGGGGAGAGAAGGGAGAGAACAGGGGGGCTGAGATTGGAATAACAGCCCCCCCCAATATAAGCAGCACTATGGTCAAAGGGGCACCCCGGCACCAGGTCCCCCCATCCACCAAAACTATTAAGGAGGCCCTGGCAAAGGCCTCCGCAAAGATGGCCACCGCCCCAGCACGTGGAAGCAAGCAGGCAGCAGGAGCATATGCAGCCCTGCAGGATCCGCAGCCCAGCCATCCCTGCACGTCTGAGAGTGAGTCTGACCCTGAACCAGATGTCCATACACAAGCCCTGATGCCTGACCTTACACCCCTAGACCTGTTATCACGCTTTGAAAAAATGCTGCACAAGGCTTTGAAGCAAACCTCAGACCGCATCACTGCCACACTATCTAGGGAGATCCGTGAACTGGGACAGCGCACTGCGGACCTAGAACAGAGGGTGGATGGTCTTGATGTCTCACTTCAGACACATACAGATGACCTTGATCTCCTGCGTGACGAAAACGCAACTTTATTGACACGGCTAGAGGACTTTGAAAACCGAGCACGGCGCTCAAATCTGCGTGTCCGGGGCCTTCCGGAAACGATCGTTGATGTACAATCGACAATAACAGCTCTGTTCCAAGAGCTTGCCCCAGCTATCCCAATTGATAGATTGGAATTAGACAGAGTCCACAGAGCGTTAGCACCACGACGCAACGACGGTCCGCCACGTGACATTATAGCCAAGCTTCACTTCTTCCGTACCAAGGAGCAACTTCTACAAGCTGCCCGTAACGCAGAATCTCTACAGTTCCAAGGTCATACCTACCAACTATTCCAGGATCTATGCCCCACAACCATCACCTAACGCAGGGCTATGAAACCTCACCTACAAGTACTTCAACAACATGCAATACAATATAGGTGGAGTTTCCCTTTTGCAGTGCGATTCCGACACCAGTCCCGAGATTACACCTGCAAGACACCTGAGGACCTTATAGACACCCTGCGGACCCTGCAACTACATCCCCCAGCGACGCCTTCAGAGAGCGCCAAGCGGAGGTCCACATCCAGCTCGCCCGGACGTCCTTCCCCACGCGTGCAACTGAAGGTCAATCCAACTTCCACAAGAGAGGGCGTTTTTCGTCTCCGGGCCTACCCTCACAAGACATCATGGACTGAACTCTGTCCCATGTTTATTCCTTTTTTTTTCCCCCCTTATTTTTTATCGCGCACACCATGCGATATACTCTTTTGATTGTCACTACGGTTAGCACCGTTAGTATTCTCTCTCCCTCTACATGTTAAATCTTGGTTGCCCCACAACATGAGATCTGTTCTGCAACCCCCCCTCCTGGGTTTTATAATAGTTTACATCTGGGAGCCTTGGCTTTGACGGCATGCGATGCCATACCTCTACACCCATGAGGTTTCACTAGCACCACTAGTGCCGTCTGAGTCTGGGATTCCCTGATTTTATCGGATGTTTTTCTCTTTTTAATATACCTGTTTTTTCTGCCGGGACCTTGCCACCATTTGGTAATCACATTGCTGTCATCCTTACGGTCCGCGTACCTGCACACTCCACCTTAGCCCCTGTGTTATTGGTTATTTAATAACACTTGGGCTACTACTGCTCCCTAGCCCACCCTGACTCAGGGTGTCCTTGGGAGCCCACCTTTTAGGCCTTAAATGGCCTCTTACACCCTTTCTTTCCTGTTACCTGTCTCCTACCGTACCCCTCTTCCCTCCCTCCAACATGACTCCATGACTTTGCTTAACATACTCCGCAACAATCCTATCCTCCGCAGTAATCGTCAGGCTTCACCCTGGGCGGTGGTGCCATGCTATCCAATCCACTATGCGCTTTCCCCATGGGCTCGTTAAATGTCCTTACCCTGAATGTTCAGGGCCTCAATATTCCGCAGAAACGTAATAAGGCTTTCCGAACCTTTGCTACACTTAAAGCCCACGTGGTCTGTCTTCAGGAAACACACTTCACTTCCAACTCCACTCCTAAGTTTTTTGGTCCTCGATATCCTCAGGTCTAGACAGCCTCTGCCACTGCCAAACGAAGGGGGGGTACTGATCGCCTTCCATCGAACAACACCTTTCGTGCCATGCACCGAAATCAAAGACCCAGAAGGTCGTTACCTCCTGTTAGTAGGGCAACTCCTCCATGTAGATGTCACCATTGTTGCATACTACACCCAAAACCAAGATCCTTTACCATTCCTTTCACACATACTCTCGGTTATAGACCATCATAAACGCGGAACTTTAATTGTTAGCGGAGACTCTAACAATGTAATATATCCCTTTCTCGACAAATCTCCTCAACTATCTCCTATCCCTGCTTCTAAACAAACCTTCCAATCCATACTACAACAACGTTATTCTTTGATAGACTCATGGCGAGAACTTAACCCGACCAAACGCCAATACACCTTCTATTCTCACCCCCACCGGTCATTCTCTAGGATAGATCATATTTTTGTCACTACTGCCTCTTCCCCTCGGCTTTTGACCTCTGAAATAATTCCCATTCCCTGGTCTGACCATTGTGCCGTGTTCACATCTATGGCCTCGTTGGCCTCATCCCCCGCTGAATCCTCTTGGATCATTAATGATAACCTGCTTGTAAACCCAGCTCACTGTCTAGAAATAGAAGCAGCCCTTAAAGACTACTTCTCTCTCAATCAATCACCTGATATTTCCCCTCTCTTGTTATGGGAAGCACACAAACCGGTATTGCGAGGGTTTTTGCATTAGCAAAGCATCCTTCTTAAATAAAACCAAAAGGCAGCAACGTCTTCTACTGGAGCAAACTTATGATCGTTCTCATCAAGCCTTCCAGACGGCTCCCACGCCTGCCAATCGGGAAACCCTGGAGCAATCTAGATTAGCCCTAGATCTTTTTCTCACAGACCAAGCGGAACTCTCACTCCGTAGATCTAGGCACAAAATACTACTATACTAGGGCAAATAAACCCAACACATTCCTGGCTCTTTCACTTCGCAGGTTCGACCAGCTCACTAAACCTATCAGGATACGCACCTCCTCTGGTAACCTCACTAGTAACCCAGAACACATCCTACAGACGTTCCATAAACACTTGTCACAACTTTACTCCTCTTCCACACCTTTCGACCCCGCACAGGCTGATACCCTTTTAACTTCCATTTCTTTCCCGAGACTCTCAGAGTGCCAGTTAGCGGCACTTGAAAGACCCATCTCCCAAGCCGAAACCTTAGACGCTATTAAAAGTCTAAAGCTACGTAAACGCCCAGGGCCAGATGGCTTCTCTCAGCCACTTACTATAAAAAATTTGCTCATCTCCTTACACCTATCCTCATGGGATAAATTGAAAACCCGTTACCTCCTCCAATCACTACATAATCCTATGCTCTCGTTTCTACAAAACCCAGCTTTTCCCCCGGCGTGGCAGACACCCCGTTTATTCAAAGCCTGGTCCTCCGCTAATTTGCTCCGTACGCATCACTTCCTACAGAGGAATAAGTTTAAATCCTTTGCCTCACTGCGGGAAACGCATAGCCTCCCGGCCTCTGAGATATTTAGATACTTGCAGCTACAACACTTTTACGCACCATACGCTACAATAACCAATCGGCCAGACACCATGTCTCTCTTTGAACGAGCGTGTTGCAAAGACCCTCATAGACGTGGGCTTATCTCCTGCTTATACTCACTCTTCGCCGCTTCGACCACCACGTCCCCCCCTCTATATACCCATAAATGGGAAGTGGATCTAGGTAAGAAATTCGACCCCGTCTGATTGGGACCACATTTTGGCCAACACAAAATCGTCTTCGCAGAACGTTGTAGCATTGGAAACGAATTATAAAGTTTTAACCCGCTGGTACTTGGTCCCAGCAAGAATCGCAAAATTTACCCCTAATTACTCACCCAACTGTTTCAGAGGCTGTGTGGTTCTGGGAACACATTACCATATATGGTGGGACTGTCCTGTAGCCCGAACTTTTTGGGATGAAATTTTTACCATGATATCTACATTTAGCACTATCACTATACAGCCAGACCCAACGACAGCCCTACTCAACCAATGCCCTTCTGGCATCTCCAACTCGCAATTTAAGCTGTTTATGCAAGTCACGACAGCGGCTAAACAGGTTATAGCAAAGTCTTGGAAATCCCCTACTCTTAGTGTCGCGGCTGTCAAAACCAGAATAACTCAAGCCATGATACACGCAAAGGTGGAAGCCACAGTTCTTGACACGATCCCTAAATTCCTGCGCATATGGAGCCCTTGGGTAGAGCATTTCCGTCTAACTTTGATGAGTCACTGCTTCTCCCTTGAGTTCAGTACTGTACGACAAGGATATGGTACATAACCCCTCGTGCGTAGCGCGTAGAGGCTGTTGTGAACTTGATGAATATTCATGGAGTCATGATTGTTGTCCTTCTTCCCCTTCCCCCCCCCTTCCGCCCCTGTCTGACCCCCTCCAGAATTCCCCCTATTTCTTTAATGCACTTGGGAGACATTACCATGATTGACTGATACCATCTTGCATTCTGTCCTTGATTTCTATTTACCTGTTTCTGTTAGAAATGTATAGGCGTTAATGCCTTGACCCTCATTCATTTTATTGTATCCTACTGTCACATCAATGCCTAATATGTATTAACAATGTCTCCTTGTTTGTGTCATTCCC